GCGATGCGTTAACTTTGCAGTCCCGCCTAAATTCACATGAATTTTATTTGGGGATATAGTTCGCAAAGATACGAAGACTTTATTAACAATTATCATTCTGCTGGTAGGCGGGGATCCATTCAATAACATCAAGGCGTTACGCCATAAATGTGGTTTACTATCAGTCCAAGAAGGGAAATGTAATGTGCTTGAATTAATGATCTAAACACAGTCACTCGCGTGTGGAAGAATTCATTGAAATTCAGGCGCTATCAGTTACTGAGATATTCAGGTACAACGTATTTACGGAGCACAAAAGTAAGGAAACATGGATAACATAATGATAACATGGCAATTTCATTGACACACACGGGTTGCACAAATGCAACGGACTAAACGTATTATAACCTGCAATTAGTCAACTTAACGTAATGACACAGCCTTACACGTGCGAAGCTCAGTAACCAGGCCATTAAGATTAAAACACACATGTAGTAAGTGTGGAGGTCTCAGGGATGTCACATGTCACAATTAACACGTATACTGTAATAGTTCATTTCATGCCGTTTGTATAAAACCTAGGAAGTGTAACAAAGCCGCTTGTATAAAGAGCACCTCGAATAGCTGGTGGTAGTAAGTGGTAGGATGTCTAGTCAAACGAGACAAATGCTGTTTGCATAACACAGCCCCAGTATAAATGGTGACTCGAAATCATGCTCCAGATTAAAAACAGAGTAAAGATAAGATGCGCGTAGTTTTGATTGGTGAGATGAAAAGGGGACTGAGCTTCCACTTTCGCTAAAGGCATAGAATGTTCACTGGTGACTAGTGAAGCCGCAGGGCCACTTGTGTTAATATCAACGTGTGAAGTGGCGTGATAAAGACAAGATGACCCGACTCAAAGCAGCTCCGGCAAATTACCATTTACAGGTCAATACCTATTCGAGTATCGCGTCGGAGCCCAAGATGGATTCAATCGATCAGTTACGGTGGCCGCTATATTAGGAAGAACGAATGTATTCTATTCAGGGGTTGCAGCATTCCCGTGAGCGACATCGCAAGCTCTATTAGAAAAGTATTTCTTCGGGTCCCTACTTGGGAACTTGACATGGTCACATTTCCGAACAGGGCATGCAAGGCTGGATATTAAAACATTCAAACGTTACCCAGGGCCTAGGTAAGCTGCGGAAACTAGTATTAGAACTTATATGTCTTCACACAAAAGCCAAAATCATTATTCAGTTTGGTAAGGCAAGTTAAGTCAAAATAAGCTTTATGTACCCGACTGAGCACAGTTTTAACACTTGTTTACACTAGAACTGCGGATATATAAGAAATATTTGGTACAAAGGTAGTCTAATTAATAGGACTAGCAAATGATTAAATAAACAAAACACATATATTCAACTAAAGCCGTAAGAAGACGAACACTGGCAGATGTCAACCATTCGTATTGTCTCTTCGGTGGCATTGATGCCGGTGGAGGATGGAAGAATCGTGAAATGTCGGGTGAATAATTGTGCAGATGCATAAACATTGTAAAGAATCTGAGTCAAGCTTTTTCTCCTTTGGTAAACTTTTCCTGAATCAGAAGGCTTTGTGTCCAACTATCCACACTGGAATTAGTCATGAAGGTGACTGCAGCGGAATCGTTTTGATATAAACCCATGGTTCGGATAAGTCCTTGTTGGATAATTTCGTCCTATCTATCATGAAAGGCAGCTCAGCTGTCCAATCCCGGATTCCCAATAAGTCCCAGACCTCGGAGAAAAGGCAAAGAGAGCAACAAGTCAAGAGAATACCACAAAGTACAGCCGTGGAACCAAGCAGTGTGAAAGTCCTAAGTTATCTCATTTACCTAAATCGATCAATCAATCAATCAATGGTTCATTCTGGACGGCGCGAGCCGCCTTCAAATATTTGCTCATGGTGACAAAAGCGCAGTACATCAATAATGGTACAGAAATGTTACAAGTTACCTAGCACCTACTGGAGACGTGTGCACGTATACATAGCATGTGCGTGGGTGCATGTTTATCCATCGTGTTAAGTGAACTTTTTAAAATTACTATAAGTTTGTGGGTTTGTTGTGCGAATTCGCCAATGTTGGAAGGGATCAGGTGAAATCTTTGGATTGGTTAGTGCTCACGAAATGTACAAACTCCACCGGTATGGCAACAGGCGGTGAATTTATTTAGTGATGAGTCATATGCTCCAGGTCACAGTTTTGTAAGAAGACAGGATTTGGTGTGCCTTGACAGATTTGAGGGGGAACTATTTATTTATTTACATATGTGGCCTTTTGTAGGGAGAACGCTTGCCAGACGAAAAGCCAACTGGTCTCGAAACACTGCCGTCGAACTATTAGGTTGACCACCCAGCTGGCACCACGTGGTGGATGTAAAATGTGCAACAAATTATATGCTGAAAGTGCCATTGGATTATGCAACAGAAAGCAATTGCCACATGGTTAGATTACTGTCATTTACATAGTGAACAAGCGTCTGGTTCCTGAAAGCAATCTACGAAATATTAGTTTACGGCAATGTAAGTAATGTGTGGGAAGAGAGAAAAGGTTGGTTTCAAAGACATGGCGGTCCTTAAATGGCGAATAAACAATGAGGTGTCAAGTTAATTCGCTACGGAATGCAGAATAATTGAGGGCAGCAGCACCTCAATGGATTAAGTACTTCACCTAATGGTAGAGTTCTGCGGGGAAAAAGCTAAGCCTAACGAACGGCACGGAAGGGTGAGGGTGGGAGCCGGATTAATTGTGAAGCAGAAGCTGCTTGCTGTGGGCCTAGTCTAATAAGAGTACGAAGTTAAGAACAGGATCGATAAGGGAAGAGACTAAATACCACAGCTGCTGTACAAATAGGGTATCAGAACCAGCTCGGGGATGGACCAGCGTTGCGGAATAAGATGGGCAGATGCTCCTAAATAGACTAAGTGCACAACTACAAAGCGGGCTTCTGCAGTGTAACAGGCAATTCTGCTGGACTGTAGAGAATAATGAGAGTAGGGGTCGGATTAGTTGCTGTCAAATCTGTTCGACGTCGTGTGAAGCCAACATGGACTGCATAACTGTCGTAGTTACTACCACACCTGTAGTGAAAATAGGGCTGCACAGCTTGCACTGGACTGAACCTTGAGTTTCTGGGCTAAGTAGGCAGCACCGCCTAAAAGACTAAGTGCTCTAGTCCAACGTGGATTTCTACAGTTCTACAGGTTATTCAGCTGGCTTGCAGAGAAGTGAGTTTAGGAGCCGGATTAATTGGAGGAAATATATGTTTATAGTCTTATATATGGGAGATAAACGGCATATCTGTCATAAGAAGAACACTAAGAGAAGGGACTAAATGCTTCAACTGCATCTAAATTGGTGCTGTAGATTTAGCTCCGGAATGCAGCTGGGGGACTCTGTACCGCAGCTATCGGCTAAGGGCTTTGAGCCAGGCGCCCATAATAGTAAATGTCCATCACATGTTAGCCGTTAGGACTGCAAAAGTGTGGCGGATAAAGTACGTAGTATGAAAGCCCTGACAAGCAGTCTTCTTCCATTTGCTGCCACGGCAAAGAGCTGGTGAGTGGACGACCCCTAACTCAAACCTGCTGTGCAAAGATAGGGACTTCCCCACTGCCGACAGCATAGTGGCTGGGAGGACTAGCAGCTCCAATTCGGAGAACATATCACTTGGCCAGATTTATGGACATCCACGATAATGGTAGACCATTCTCGGAAACTATCCATAACACATTGAATTGCCTTAGAACCCCCTGGATATTCGCAATATTCCAGAGGTTAAGGTCGTCAGCAACCATTGGTGGCAACACTCCTAGCTCCCCGGCACGTCAATTACATAGGTCGCGAACAACAATGGCCTCAATACCGAGCCATGCGGGAAGCCAATAAGAACAGCTTGCCTAAGTGAAAGGCTATGCCCCACGTATGTACGCTGTTCCTTCCCCTATAAGCAATCAGCCACCCATTTAAAGGCGCCACCAGGTAGCGCACACGATCTAAACCTCTTTGTGAGCCAAAGAGGAGGAAAGGTTACAAGATTTCGAAAAGTTCCAGAATAGTACGTCTATAGCGTGGCCACTGTCTACTGCTACGGCCCGGCTTTCACGAGCTACAAACAGATTAGCCTAACACGAATAGCTCTTGCGGAATTCAGGTTGCGCAACAATGAGGTTAAGTTTGTTCAGATGTTTCAACCTCGAATCACTTATTAGCTTTTCAAACAACTAGACTATTACGCTTGTCAAACTGACCGGCCAGTAGTTCGTAAGCAGATTACTGTTACCGATCTTAAAAATCGGGCAGATGATTGCCTACTCCCATTCCGAAATTAAGACGCAGCTGTCAAACGATTTTGAAAACACAAATGTGTGAGGACCACTCAGCTCAGCGGCCAATTCATGCAACAGCTTTGGAGGATTTGAATTAGGACCGGAATGTTTAGAGCGATTACTGACTTGAAGTATCTAGAAGTCCCGAGTCCCCGTTGTGTTAAACTCAGCTACGCCTGAATCTCTCTAGTAAAGTCACTAGTATAATATTCACTAAGTATACAAGCCACATCTTATTCGGTTCGCGCACGGGTCCGTCTGCTCGCAATGACACTGGTATAGACTGTTTTGCCGCATTGCTTCTTTTAACGTTAGCAAAGAACTACTTGGGATTAGTCACGGCCGAGTCCGCTAAACCGCTCTCGTATTGGAGACGAGCAGACTTATTCCGTTGCTTCTATTTATTCCTAATCAATCGATACCTGTCATAGATAATGTCTGATGAAGCTGCTTGGTAGGTTCGCCAGCATTTAAACCGTTTCTTGATTAGGTAGTTACATGTGGAATCTATCCACGGGGGTAGTGCCCGTAACCCTCTTTTCCTCATGAGTGCACTATAGGGAGTAGAAGCCTACTTAAGATATGCCTTAATGTTGTCCTAGGCTAAATAGACAGAGTCGGCCATCTGGTTCTCCCAGTTCCGTAATAAAGCCTTAGCTCGCATTACACTAATGTCCGCCCGACAAATATTTGAAACCCCCCCCCCCCCCCCCACCCCCCCCCCCTCCCCCCCCCCCCCCCCCCCCCCCCCCCTCCCCCCCCCCCCCCCCCCCCCCCCCCCCCCCCCCCCCCCCCCCCCCCCCCCCCCCCCCCCCCCCCCCCTCCCCCCCCCCCCCCCCCCCCCCCCCCCCCCCCCCCCTAAGCTATTCAACGGCGCTCTGTTGATGCCACTTGAACACGTGCCACCAGTGAAAGGATTATGCTACGTGATCTATGAAACACTAGAGGTGCATAGTATGTACATGTCATGCGCCGCACGATGTCGAGCCGGCTTAAAGAACCATGCTCCATTATAATGCACTCGAGCACATCGCTAGATTGCCTCCCTTATACCCTCCGGGTGGCGATCGCTTACTAACGGGCTGGTGCGCAGGCCGGACTAGGCCCCTCGCGCCGTCCCATTAACCCCCACACCCCCCCCCCCCACCCCCCCCCGCCCCTCAAACCCCACCGTACCTCCTCCCTCCCCGCCCCCCTCCCTCTCCCCTCCTCCATCCCCTCCAGTTATAAAACGTTTGACCCCCACCCACCCCCTGTCCATCCGTCTACTTGGTCCCCTCTGCCCCCCCCCCCCCTTTCACACGCCCCGCCCCCCCCCCCCCCCCCCCCCCCCGCCCCCGCACCCCCCCCCCCCCCCCCCCCCCCCCCCGCCCCCCCTCCCCTGCCCCCCTATCACCCCCCCACCACCCCCCCCCCCTCACCGTCCCCCCCCCCCCCCCCCTCCCCGCTTCTGCGCCCCCGGCTCTTCCCCCCGTCCCCCCCGCCCCCCCCCCCCGCCCCCCCCCCCCCCGCCCGCCCCCCCCCCCATCCCCCCCCTCCCCGCCTTGCTCCCCCCACCCCCCCCCCCCCTCCCCCCCCCCCCCCCACCCCCCCCCCTCGCCCCC